TTATCTTGTATTATCAAGTGTAGTGAACTCATGGACAATTACACTATGTTTTGTCTCTTTAGGAAGCAAAGGATTAGCTCCGACTGCTAGTCCCAACTAGAGTAGATCAGTTGAATCAATGGGATTTAGCAATTAACACATTATTGGATGCCTCTACTCTAATCGGGTCCAACATTTGGATTTAGAGCTTTGTACAAAAACAGGAAGTGCTGAAAACAGAGCAGACGGTTTACAGGATCATGAAAACATTCTTCTACTTTTATTGGTCTTAAGTTTATCATTTATGAGAAAAGCTATATTTATTATACAGCCACCCCAAGCTTTGTCTTCTGCACTTCAATCCTGGTGGAAGAAGCCAACTGAAATCTTCCAAGCTGCTTTTACAACAATGACATTTGTCATACAGTTGGAAGAGACACCAAGCCCTTTCTCCAATGACATTTCGGGATGTAGTGAGCACCACGAACATGTAGCCAAAACCCTGCCAATGTCCTCCACAAACACCATCCCCCCCCCCCCCAACTAAAGTGAAGGCTTTCATGCAGGGACAATTTCATCCTAGATGTTCTGTTTTTCCTCCACATCACATGGTTCCTTTCTCTCTCCATTGCTATGGAATTTGCATGACCCCACCCCACTGCCTCTCCTGTAACACTTTCCTACCCTTTCCTATGACACAAAAGAGACAACGGAATTGATCAGCAACTGAACAAGAGGTTTGGAAAGAATCACTGGGTTGTTGTAGGTTTTTTCGCGCTATATGGCCATGTTCTAGAAGCATTCTCTCCTGATGTTTCACCTGCATTTATGGCAAGCATCCTCAGAGGTTGTGAGACCTCACATCCTCTAAGGATGCTTGCCATAGATGCAGGCAAAACGTCGGGAGAGAATGCTTCTAGAACATGGCCATATAGCCCAAAAAACCTACAACAACCCGGTTTGGAAAGAATTCACCATGATTTACAGGACTTGTATTTGACCTACATCAAGAGAGCACTGTTAACCCAATCAATGATGAATCTGGACCAAACTTGCTATGGAGGATGGGACTTGCAATACCTTCACTGATACTGTGATCTCCACCGACAATGGACTGTTATCAAACATGGCACAGAGAATCCCTGTGACTAACTGAACATATTGCAGGGGTTAGTGGGAATGGTCCTTGATTTTGGGAGTTATAGTTCACCTACAACCAGAGAAACTGTGATCCCCACCAACAATGGACTGTTATCAAACATGGCACAGAGAATCCCCGTGACTAACTGAACATATTGCAGGGGTTAGTGGGAATGGACCTTGATTTTGGGAGTTATAGTTCACCTACAACCAGAGAAACTGTGATCCCCACCAACAATGGACTGTAACCAACTTGGCACAGAGAATCCCTGTGACCAACTGAACATATTGCAGGGGTTAGTGGGAATGGACCTTGATTTTGGGAGTTATAGTTCACCTACAACCAGAGAAACTGTGATCCCCACCGACAATGGACTGTAAGCAACTTGGCACAGAGAATCCCTGTGACCAACTGAACATACTGCAGGGGTTAGTGGGAATGGACCTTGATTTTGGGAGTTATAGTTCACCTACAACCAGAGAAACTGTGACCCCCACCGACAATGGACTGGGACCAAATTTGCCACAGAGAAGCCCCATGACCAACTGGACATACTACAGGATGGATCTGGACCAAAGTTGGCACACAAGCCCAACATGGCCAACTATGAATACTGTCACGATTTGGGGGCGATTGCCTTGGGAGTCTGGGAATTGTAGTTCACCCTTATCCAGAGAGCACTGAACCCAGCCAATGACGGATCTGGACCAAACTTCGTTGATATGACCTAACATCCCAAAACAAACAATGCCTTCTTTTAATAACCCGGGCACTGCTGGGTCTCCAAGCTTGTATACTAATAATGTTATTGTATAAACCAGGCATGGGCAAACTTGGGCCCTCCGGGTGTTTTGGACTTCAACTCCCACAATTCCTAACAGCCAGTAGGAGTTATCAAATATGGGAGCAATATGTTTGATTGCTTTCTCCTTTAGAATATTCCCTCTCATTTCAACACCTTTCCAGAACTGTACATATTTTGAGCATGACATATGTGTAGCCCGGCTGAAACAGTTCCATGCTAAGAATAATGTCAGTGTGCAAGGTGTGGAAAGTATATCACATTTTGAATTTCATCCCAGAATCTGTAAGACAGAGCAGGATATTATCTGACATGCAATCTGGCATATAAAAACAGCTGTCAGATTTGAGGTAGCAGCGTAACACTGATGCAATACTGCTGTTGAAAATGAAAAAAAATTAAGCACCAAACATATGAATCACGTGAGCGTATTCCAACTGGAAACTGTAGCAAATTGGGGGTTTTTTTAAATAAAAAATTACATATAAGGATGGGTCAAAAAGTGATGCCTCCATCTCTCTAACTTTTATTTCTTTCACAGCTTCTGGACTATCTATGCCATAGATGCAGGCAAAACATCAGGAGAGAATGCTTCTGGAACATGGCCAGACAGCCTATGCTCTGACTTACAAGTAGCACTGCTTGACTATCAAGCAAAAAGTGGGAGCTAGAAACAATATCATACGAAAGCTGACCGGCACAACCTGGGGATCACAACCAGATACAGTGAAGACATCTGCCCTTGTGTTTTACTACTCTGCCGCTGAATATGCATGCCCAGTGGGGAACACATCTCACCACATTAAAACAGTGGATGTGGATCTTAATGAGACATGCCACATTATCACAGGATATCTACACCCTACGCCACTGGAGAAATTATACTGTTTAGCCAGTACTGCACCACCTGACATCCGTTGGGGAGCAGCAGCCAATAATGAAAGGCCCAAGGCAGTGACATCTCCAGCTCATCCCCTCTCCGGGTATCAGGCAGTATGCCAACACCTTAAACCAAGAAATAGTTCTCTAAGATCTACAGAGATACTTGCACGAACACTTCAGCAAGCAAGAGTCCAAAAGTGGCAGGCTAAAACCTGCAACCTCAACCCATGGCTGATATCAAATGAAGGACTCCCCCCCACGGGCACTCAGAAGATTGGGTGACTTGGAAGACGCTGAACAGACTGCTCTCTGGCAGCACGAGATGTAGAGCCAACCTCAAGAAATAGGGCCACAAAGTGGAGTCCACAACATGCAAGTGTGGAGGAGAGCAAACCACAGACCACTTATTGTAATGCAACCTGAGCTCTGCCACGTGCACAATGGAGAACCTTATAGCAACACCAAAAGCACTCCAAGTGGTCAGATACTGGTCAAAGGAAATTTAGCAAAATGCCAACTTTTTTAAACTTTGTGTTTTTTCAATATATTACAACTGTACCCTCAGTTCGCTTCGGATACAATAAATAAATAAACCTATTGCTAAACCGTTTTGGATTATTTATCTTTCTTTGTTATTCCTGTTTTTTTATATGCTATTTATGTGTTTTACAATAAACTGTTTGCTTATATTCCTGTGCTTGTGTGGTGCGCTGGTCATAGTGCAACATTCTTTCGAATGAAGCAGAGAATGTTTGAGGACCGGGACATTCGTAGAGATACCAAGGGACTTGTTTATAAAGCTATTGTCCTCCCAACCCTGTTATATACCTGCAAAACGTGGACTGTCAACAGAAGTCACACTCAACTCCTGGAACGATTCCATCAGCATTGCCTCTGAAAAATCCTGCAAATCTCTTGGGAAGACAGGCAGACACATGTCAGCGTGCTGGAACAAGTAAAGACTACCAGCATTGAAGTGATGCTCCTACGCCATCAACTCCACTGGACTGAATGCCACATTGTCCGAATGCCTGATCACCATCTCCCAAAGCGGTTCCTCTACTCCAGTGGTTCTCAACCTGGGGTCCCCAGATGTTTTTGGCCTACAACTCCCAGAAATCCCAGCCAGTTTACCAGCTGTTAGGACTTCTGGGAGTTGAAGACCAAAAACATCTGTGGACCCAAGGTTGAGAACCACTGCTCTACTCCCAACTCAAGAACAAGAAAGGTAATGTTGGTGGACGGGAAAACAGATTTAAAGATGGGCTTATAGCCAACCTTAAAAACTATGGAATAGACACCAAAAGGGAACTGGGAAGCCCTGGTCCTTGAGTGCTCTAAGTGGAGGTCAGCTGTGACCAGCAATGCTGCAGAATTCTAAGAGGCACGAATGGAGGACAAAAGAGAGTAATGTGGCAAAAGGAAAGTGCATCAAGACAACCCTGAGCGGGACCGCCTTCCACACTGAAATCTATGTCCTCACTGCAGGAGAAGAGGAGCCCCCGGTGGCACAGTGGGTTAAACCCCTGTGCTGGCAGGACTGAAGACCGACAGGTCGCAGGTTCGAATCTGGGGAGAGGCGGATGAGCTCCCTCTATCAGCTCCAGCTCCTCATACGGGGACATGAAAGAAGCCTCCCACAAGGATGATAAAAACATCAAATCATCCAGGCATCCTCTGGGCAACATCCTTGCAGATGGCCGATTCTCTCACACCAGAAGCGACTTGCAGTTTTTCAAATCGCTCCTGACACGACCAAAACAAAAAACAAAAAAACTGCAGGAGAACATGCAGATCAAGAGTAGGGCTTCACAGCCACCTACTGACCCACCGCCAAGACACTACACTTGCAGGACCATCATCCTCAGGCTACGAGGGATCGCCTAATTAAGTAAGTAAGCAACAATTGTAACGCAGGCACTATGCATCATTGTAAGCAATGACTCACAATTAATCATACTAAAAAAAATAAATACCACCCATTTTTTTGTGCATGTGTGTGTTTTGGGATGGTGGCTGTTCGGTTAAGAAACAGTTACATAATTCTACTAAAAAGAAACTACACCCTGCGACAAAAAAAATGTACAAAGTGTTCCTGTCTTAAGGCATGTAAGGTTTTGAGGGCAGCGCTTTGACAAAGTCCAGGGAGGCAGTCGGCTGCTCCAAGCTAGACTCCGCTGGGCTGCCGAAAGCTGTGACATCACTGGCAAAAGTTTGGACTCGGCCAGCCCTCTACTGTTTGCGGTTAAGGGGAGGCCCCGAACGAATGGGTGTCTCTTGCTGGTGGATCCCTTACCCTTGTGGGAGGGGGGAAAGCGGAGTTTATCCAACCAGAACTTCCCTGCTTGCTGCACGCTTCATTGTCCTCCCCCTTCTCCGCATGTAAATCCACCACAAAGGAGCTGAAGTTCAAATAGGGCTGTTTTAGCTACGCTTGAAGTGATGGAGTGAAAGCTCAGAAGCTCAGAAGAGCCCGAGTTCCTGAAAAGCAAGTTGCTGCCGCTGCCTATTGTCCCCTCGAATATCTCTGGCATGGCTTAGGTTCACGTTAAAGGGACGGAACGAGAAGGAAATTATACCAGGACTGCGGTAGCCTTATGTTGCCATCCTTCCAAGCCCAAGTACCAAAACACAGGCGCGCTTTCAATCCGTCAGAATCCAACCAGTCCTGAGATGAAATGGTTTCTTTTGCTTCTCAGTGATGTCACCCTTTCTGTGGATGAGCCAAGTCAGTGAATCTTTGACTTCCTAAAAGGCTGAAGCTTGAAGAAAGAAGCCCAAAGGAAAAAGGGTAAGGATATAAAAGGTGTCACGTTTATATTTTCTCTGCCAGCTCTAAAGTTATTCTGATTTTGTCTTCGAGTCCTCGGATTTGAAAAGTCAGCATATGACACATTGCTAATCCTTAGATGTGGAATTCTAATTAAGATGCATGTATATAAACTTTGGAATATTGTCTACAGGGTTTCTGTTAAGTGTTTAAGTCAGCGTTTCTCAACCAGGGGGTCGGGATGGGGGTGTCAGAGGGGGTGCCAAAGAACATCAGAAAACACAGTCTTTTCTGATGGTCATGGGGTTTCTGTGTGGGAAGTTTGGCCCAATTCTATTATTGGTGAAGTTCACAATGCTCTTTGATTGTAGGTGAACTATAAATCCCAGCAACTACAACTCCAGAATGGCAAGATCTAATTTTCCACAAACTCCGGCAGTGTTCACATTTGGACATATTGCGTATTCATGCCAGGTCTAATTTTCCCCAAACTCCACCAGTGTTCACATTTGGGCATATTGCATATTCATGCCAGGTCTAATTTTCCCCAAACTCTACCAGTGTTCACATTTGGGCATATTGCGTTTTCATGCCAGGTCTAATTTTCCCCAAACTCCACCAGTGTTCACCTCTGGCCATATTGCGTATTCATGCCAGGTCTAATTTTCCCCAAACTCTACCAGTGTTCACATTTGGGCATATTGCGTATTCATGCCAGGTCTAATTTTCCCCAAACTCCACCAGTGTTCACATTTGGGCATATTGCGTATTCATGCCAGGTCTAATTTTCCCCAAACTCCACCAGTGTTCACATTTTGGCATATTGCATATTCATGCCAAATTTGGTCCAGATCCATCATTGTTTGGGTCCACAGTGCTCTCTGAATGCAGGTGAACTACAACTCCCAAACTCAAGGTCAGCGCCCTCTAACTGTATTTTCTGATGGTGATGGGAATTCTGTGTGCCAAGTTTGGTTCAACTCCATCATTGGTGGAGTTCAGAATGCTTTCTTTGATTGTAGATGAACTATAAATCCCAGCAAACTACAACTTCCAAATGACAAAATCATTGCCTCCCAAACCTCCCCAGTAATTCCAATTTGGGTGTATGGGGTATTTGTGCAAATGAATGAAAATACATCATGCATCTCAGATATTTATATTACGATTCATTACAGTGTCGGAATTACAGTTGTGAAGTAGCACAAAAATAATGTTATGCTTGGGAGTCACCACAAGATGAGGACGTGTATTAAGGGGTCGTGGTATTAGGAAAGTTGAGAACCACTGGTTTATATGCATGTTTGAAACATTGTGGACTCAAAGAATGATGGATCTGGACCAAACTTGGCACAGATACTCAATATGTCCAAATGTGAACACTGGTGGAGTTTGGGGAAAATAGACCTTGACATTTGGGAGTTGTAGTCGCTGGGATTTATAGTTTGTTGAAATATCAACAATTTAAAGGTCCTTTTTGGAATCAAAAACTCTACCAATCCCATCACGGTATTGATTATATGCATTTCGTTTCTAAACGCTACACAGGAAAGTCCTCTCTACTTTGTGCTACTTCTTGTGCTACTTCTTTGAAAGGACTATTGTATTACAACCCAGGAAGCTGGTCTTTGCTTTCCTCCGACACACTGATCAGATTAAAAGATACAGACGGTTCCTCTAAGCAACAGCTCCTAGAATATCACTGTTTGCATGTTTCAAGTGAAAGCAGTTTCTTTAAAAAATGACCAGACCAGGCAAAGTTGGCTATTTTGAAAACATTCCTCACGGCAGCTTTTGCGTCGGATGCCAAGTGTGAAACCCGAAGCAAGGGAGATAGGGCTTTGCTGTTGCAAAGCTCTTCTTTTGCAAAGCTCTTGACACACAAAACAAAAACAGAAAAGGAAAGCGATCAAAGTCACCTTTCAGCATGGCTTGGCCGAAAAGAAAATAAAGTGGGGCCCACTATGAAAGGGAAGTGGAACAAGTGTAATGTTTGGCCGCAACTCGCTACTAGGTTCCGCAAAAAGATGCTGCCTGCTGAATTTCTGTTTGACCCAGAAGCAATAGAGGCAATTATAGAGCCTGTTCACTAAAAGGGGGGAAACGGGAAGTTTGGGCAAGGTCTCTTTGAAGTCTTCCACAGGGATCTGGTCCTATTTCAAAATAAAAGTTCTCAAATAATGAATTATGGAACAGAGTCTGGTCTCCTTCCCAATAAGCTCTTAACCAAAGGAAGGGTTGACCAGCAAAGCTAAAGCCAATAATAATAATAATAATAATAATAATAATAATAATAATAATAATAGGGAAGTGTCCGACGTGTGATCCAATACAACAGCCAGCACAGTGATCTTGTTTTCTGTGGACTCATCTTGTTGTGTTTCTAATAATAATAATAATCATCATCATCATCATCAACTGGAAAAGCTGACATGAGGATTTAAAGATCGAACTGCAAAGACTCTGGCACAAACCAGTCAAGGTGGTCCCAGTGAATCGGCACACTGGGTGCAGTGCCTAAAGACCTTGGCCTGCACTTAAACACAATCGGTGCTGACAAAATTACCATCTGCCAGCTGCAAAAGGCCACCCTACTGGGATCTGCATGCATTATTCGCTGATAAATCACACAGTCCTAGACACTTGGGAAGTGTCCAATGTGTGATCCAATACAACAGCCAGCAAAGTGATCTTGTTTGCTGTGGATTCATCTTGTTGTGTTTCTAATAATAATAATAATAATAATAATAATAATAATAATAATAATAATCTGGAAAAGCTGAAATGATATGAGGATTTAAATATCGAACTGCAAAGACTCTGGCACAAACCAGTAAAGGTGGTCCCAGTGGTGATCGGCACACTGGGTGCAGTGCCTAAAGACCTTGGCCTGCACTTAAACACAATTGGCACTGACAAAATTACCATCTGCCAGCTGCAAAAGGCCACCTTACTGGGATCTGCACGCATTATTCGCTGATACATCACACAGTCCTAGACACTTGGGAAGTGTCCGACGTGTGATCCAATACAACAGCCAGCAGAGTGATCTTGTCTGCTGTGGACTCATCTTGTGTTTCAAACAACAACAACAACAGGAGTGATTCCCTCTAGTTCATAGAGGTTTATTTACCAAGATAAGGGGCTGGTTTTGGAATGGCTTTGTTTCAAATGGCAGAATACACAGGGGTGGGTCAAAAATTTTTGCCTTCTGTCATAAAACCATTATGAATGAGCATATAACAACAGAAGTTGCTACAGATCATAGCCTGAACAGTCCTTTACACAAAACTACCATTCAACATAGATAAAGGTTTTCCCCTGATGTTAAGTCAATTCGTGTTCTACTCTGGGGGTTGGTGCTCATCTCCATTTCTAAGCCAAAGAGCCAGCGTTGTCCATAGACACCTCCAAGGTCATGTGGCCAGCATGACTGCATGGAGCGTTGTTACCTTCCCGGAGCGGTACCTATTGATCTACTCACATTTGCATGTTTTTCGAACTGCTAGGTTGGCAGAAGCTGGAGCTAACAGCGGGAGCTCACCCCCATGGATTCAAATGGCGACCTTTCGGTCAGCAAGTTGAGCAGCTCAGGGGTTTAACTCACTGCACCATTGGGGGCAATATCAATTTGGACACATTTTCGCCAGCGTTGAACCCAGGCATCCAAACCATTTTGGAACAATTCAGGGTTCTGCTTCGTGACCCATGTTTCAATGCCATTAATATAGTTCCTCATGTTGTGGTGACCCCCAGGTATTGATTTTGTCATTTGGGAGTTGTAGTTGTTGAGGTTTATAGTTCACCTAAACTCAAAGAGCATTCTGAACTCCTCCAACGATGGAACTGAACTAAACTTGGCACACAGAACTCCCACAACCAACAGAAAGCACTGGAAGGGTTTGGTGGGCACTGACCTTGGGTTCTGGAGTTGTAGTTCACCTACATCCAGAGAGCATTTTGGATTCAAACAATGATAGATCTGGACCAAACTTGGCATGAATATTCAATATGCCCAAATGTGAACACTGGTAGAATTTGAGGAAAATAGACCTTGACATTTGGGAGTTGTAGTTGCTGGGATTTATAGTTCACTTATAATCAAAGAGCATTCTGAACTCCCCAGCGATGGATTTGAACCAAACTTGGCACACAGTTCTCCCATGACCAACATAAAATACTGAAGGGTTTGGTGGGCATTGACCTTGAGTTTTGGAGTTGTAGTTCACCTACATCCAGAGAGCACTGTGGACTCAAACAATGATGGATCTGGACCAAACTTGGCACGAATACTCAATATGCCCACATGAACACTGGTGGAGTTTGGGGAAAATAGACCTTGACATTTGGGAGTTGTAGTTGCTGGGATTTATAGTTCATCTACAAAGAGCATTCTGAACCCCACCAACGATAGAATTGGGCCAAACTTCCCACACAGAACCTCCATGACCAACAATGGTCTCTGGTGATCCCTCTGACGCCTCCTCACGACCCCCAGGTTGAGAAACACCAATATAGAATATTTATAAATACATGCATTCATAAAGCTCCAGTTTTACAAGCCCGTGCCTCTCTGCTCTTTCATCTCCCTTCATGTCCTTTATATAGGGAATAGTATCTCATTTTCCATCCCACACCAATGTAGGATGGGGCCAGAACGTATTTTTGTTGCTGCCATCTCATCTTCTCAAACAAAAATACACCCAGGATATCTTGCCACGCTATCATGGAACACTGCCATGTTGGGTATAAAAAAGGATAGTGATTGCTTTAATAAGTATGCCGCCTACACACTTTTTTTGCACTTTGTGTTTAGCAGGCTTTAGAGTTCTGAATTGTTGAAACTAGATTAGGCTCCTCAGAGTTCAAGCCGCTTCTGTATGCAAAAATCTATCATTACGGTAAAGCCATGTAAAACCAAAACATGACTGATTGAGAGCTAGGCATTATGAGCATTTGGAAAGTTTTCCTTCATAATAGTTAACAAGCTGAACAGCGTATCAAGGCTTTTTGGCAGAACC